AACTCACAAAATCCGATAACCCATTCAATTATGAGTCCAACCATATAGTTTCACCCAGATCCGACTCTGAATCGATGTTCAAAACTCAAAAATTCACTCTATGAAACTTTGGACAAAACCTCCCAAAATTCTCTTTAAAATTCACAATCCAATTGCCAAAAATGAATATAGATTCACGAAATATAACCAAAACCGAGTAGAGAACACTTACCCCAATCCATATGGTGAAAATTGCCTCAAAAATTGCCTTAATCCGGGCTCCCCAACTCAAAATATGACCAAATGAACAAACCCTCGATATTAAATATTTTTGCCGAGTTGTTCTGCCTCGTTTCATGTGCCAAACAATCCCGAAACTCACTTTCGATGCCTCCAATAGGTTCCTTGTGAAATGCCAGTCAAGTTAGACTTTTGAATCACTCCATTTTACCTTATAATGAAGGAGATATGTTGGTTTCAATATTTGGAAATAGTGCAGATTTTTAAATACGAATTTAGTGGCAATTTCGTAATTTATCTGGGAAAAAAATCTGCAACCCAATTCTTAGTAAAATGACCATAACTTCCTTATACGATACCGAAACTTGATGATTCCAGTTGCTATGGTTCCAAAATTACGATACGGATCTAATGCTTCAATCAAAATAAAAATTGGATTTCATTTGCTTAATTTGGTAGCGTTTATGCTTGAAGAAACAACGAAACATAAAAAACAAGCGCAACACAACCCAAACCTATCTGAAACTCACCTGAGCCCCTCGAAAACCCGTCCGAACATACCAACAAGTCCCATAATATGGGCTTACTCGAGGCCTCAAATCACGCATAACAATATAAAACCCATGAATCGCACCTCAAATCGAGCTTAATGAACTTTGACTCTTTCAACTTTCAAAACTCATGCCGAACCTTATCAAATCAACTCGGAATGAACTTAAATTTCTCACACAAGTCCCAAATGACATAACGAAACTATTTCACCCCCGGAACCACAATACGAACCCAATATGAACCCAATATCATCAAAGTCAACTCCCGATCAAACTTATGAACATTCCAAACCTTCAAATTTTTAACTTTCGCCAAAATAGTGTTGATACCTTCTAGAAATATCCAAATGCAAATCCGGTCATACGCCCAAGTCCAAAATCACCATCCGGACCTAAGGAAAACATCAAAACTCCGATCAGAGGTCAAGTGCTAAAAAGTCAAATGTGGTCAACTCTTCCAACTTAAAGCTTCCTAGTTGAGAATCATTCTTTCAAATCGATTCCGAATAACCTGAAAACCAAAATTGATGATTCACACAAGTCATAATATATCATACGATGCTACTCAAGACTTCAAATAGCTGGACGGAATACAAATGCTCAAAACGACCATCTGGGACATTATCGAACCGCTCCCAAGCCCAAACCTAATATTTAATGTGGTCATAAATTTGAGTGATTTTGTACTATATCTATTATAATCATGAAAAGAATAGATAATGTTATCACCTATAGTAGCGGAATAAAACCGGCGACGTCTTTCACGGTTCCCATGGACGCCTTGTACAGCTGCCTATAAAGGTAGGCTATAACAAATCCACCCCAGCTGTACGTAGGTAACTCATCTAGCCGCTCCAGATGATGCGAAAATTGCAAGCTAACAAGGTTTCCCGAAGTGTTCGGGAAAAGAATACCGCCAAACATCATCAGTAACAATAGCCTCGGCTGTCGCTCAATATCCTCTACTAGTGAGTCATACTGATCTCCGCATGCAACACCTCTAGATGCTGCCTAATAGGCAACAACTACAACCGACTAGCACCACTCATAGCAGTCAGCTCCTCAGGTTGGAATCCGGTGAGCCTCTGCAACATATGTAGATAGTCGACTCTCGTATAATCCCTAAGAGCCTGCGGGTAGTTAATAGCCATACCATCAACGGACAACCCGAATAGAACCTCCACGTCCTGTAGCGTGATGGTAGCCTCGTCGATAGGTAGATAAGATGTGTGAGTCTCCGGTCTCCACCGGTTGATCATAGTCGTGATCAAGGACCAGTCGAACTACAACCGACCGATCTCTATAATCCGGTAAAACCCGTTCGCTGAAGGCATGTAACTGTACGGAGATGAAGTGGGTGGTCCCTAATGAACTCCCAAAGAACGTCTATATGTCTGGGGTGGAAGGTCTGGGACAACAACTATCCATCCCAAATATGTGAAAACCTATGGCTACCCTGGAGCAACAATAGCTTTGGAACAGCAGGTCCAGGATGCACTGACGGGGGATCCATGACGATGTCTGTAAATTGAATATTATTAATTAAAGTATTTTTCAATTTAATCGTTTAACATCGCTAAATATATTTCAATATTTTTAAATTAATATTTAATCGATAAATTTTCTATATTATTACTTAGGTTGATAAATAAAATATTTATTTGTATGTTAGATTTTTAGATTTTTCGACTAAAATTCGACAAAGTTTTGTTTGAACCGTCAACTTTTTTCCGGATGTTTTTGAGTTATAAGAAAATTAAATAATTAATTTTTATTTTACTAAAACCTTCTTCCTTTTCTTAAAAGTAAGAATCTTTTCATATTATTCTTTAATATTTTGAGGACAATGGAGATTTTTATGTTTGAGGTGTTATCATTCACCATTTTTCGCTAACAAATGTAATATTCTTACAAACCCTTCTTTTTATTTGCGTATCATTGTTAGGGGTGTCAATGGATATTTGTAAACCGACTAAATCGACCGAACCGTATCGTACCGAACCGATTTTTAGGTTTCTTTTAAAGAAACCGTAGGTTTTTATATAAATCTATAACCGTATCGATAATTAGGGTAGGTTTTTTATTTTATAAAAATTAACCAAAAAATACCGAACCGTACCGAATATTACATGTGAAAAATATATTTATATAGTAAGCTTAAAACTAATAAAGCATTAAATTTTTCATTGGGCCTTGGAATTATAAATAATGTGACAAGCCAACAAGTAATTAAACTGAAAATACTAGTTCCTAAAACCTATTATCCTACTTATACTTAAACTAAGTTATTTCAAGTATCTTTATTAACAAGACACAAAGTATTCAGCGATTACGAGTAGCAAACTATAATGTATTGAATGTGTTTCCCTTCATATAATTTAGATTATCTTTTTTTAATATTTAATATAGACTTTATTCTTGAGTCCCAGCTTGGTTAATATCTTTCCACTCGTGTGATTTATATTTTCTTTGCTTTTACTTGGCTTCTTTTACGTTGCTGTCGAATAGTTGATGTATCTATACTCTAGCCATCTTTCATGTTTTTTAATTCATCACCTTTTAAACAGTAAAAATAGCTAGAGAGTTTTGCTAAGTCTTATAAAAGAACGCATGTTATTGCATTCTACTTTTACTGGTGAATTTTACATGACATTTAAAAAAATACCGAAAATTAACCGAACCGTCCGATATCGAAGTGAAACCGACATGTTAGAACGGTTTCGAAAAGTCTAATTTTTGTTATGCATAATAGAATAACCGAAAAATTGGTATGGTACAAATTTTATAAAATAACCGGCCGAACCGAACCATTGACACCCCTAATCATTGTGTCTATGTGTGTGTAAATAGTTTTTGGTATAAAATTTGATGGACATGTGCAAGAAGAAGGTCAGTTTGAAGCATTTGTATATTATAAATTAATTTAATTTTGAATTGTAGTTAAAAATTTGTTCATTGAGGATTGAGAATTCTATTAGGCAAGTTAACCCGTTGAATACAACAACAACTACGCCCCAGTCCCAATGTTCAAGTGAAAAATGAGTGCTTTCATTGGCTATCAAAACCAAAAAAGAAAACGAAAAAACAAAAGAGTGCCTTATGTTCAATGGTCATAGCAATGGATATTAATTTTTATAGCTACTCTGTATTTATGATACTAGCCAGCTACATCTAGATCTGATGCTTGAAAATTGAATTAAAAAAAAAAACTGAGACTGCATACATTGTTTATTTGCTTGGGCTCCTTGTTCAAATTTATGGTTTATATGGTGTCGTCGCATGAACTCAACAAATGTATGGTAGCTTTGAATGTGTGAAACACCATAGCATCCTCTGGTATTTCAAAAAAGCATTGTGTGCCTCAATAATGTAAAACAATTTTAATCAATTGCATGTAGTTGTCAAATAAACTTGAGAACTAACCCCCCCCCCCCCCCTATATGTGTGTGCATGACCTTGAACTAGTAAATGTCTTTGCTTCAATTGCAGTTTTCTTGTTTGGGAATTCCTAAACTAGTCAGATTCCGGATGTAGCAATAAACGAAATTCTCATTAAGGCGTTTCGTTATTACTTGTGCCACATTCAGTTTGTGCAGATTTGCAGCTATAATATGGACATATATTAGGTCTATTATAGCTAACCTGACTTGTCTTAACCTATTAAGTAAATGGGATTTTAAATACATGCTGCCCTAACTAAAATATCTTTAGCAATTTGCTTGAAAATTTATTTTTCTGATAACATCATCAATAGAGGATTGAATTATAGTAGTCTTACCACCCATGACTCTCATTAGTGGTTTAATATATTTCTTACTTTTAGGTATTTGATTGTCATCTCGTCATAGATCCTCGAACCAAAGAGTCTCATGGATTTGCTTTTGTCACTATGGAAATGACTGAGTATGGAGAATGTTGTATCAAATATCTTAACCGTTATGTGATGGAAAGTTGACTTATTACTGTGGAAAAAGTGCATTTGCAACCATTAGATGGTTTAATGTTTGTTATCTTATAATTGTGACTAATATTTACTGTTAACTGTCAGTTCTGCTATCTTCAGAAATGTTGCCTGATAAACTTTTGGTTTGTGTATCTCCATCGAATTCAAACTCTAAAGCTCTAATGTCTAAATCATTGACCTTATCCTATCACACACTGCGCTCTGCATTGACTTTGCCAACATGTCGAATTCGGTTATTTGCCAAGGGTCGCTTCCCCTTAATTCCTTCACAAGTATTTGTCTCCGACATACTGAACAAGTCGTACTGCTTCAGTTTCATGTTGTTCGTATTTGCTAAAATCTTCTCTTACACTGAGCAAATTTGCATTAGCTCTGCACTGCTCTAATGGTAGAAGCTTCTAGAGCACAAAAATGAAGAAGAAGCAGGCATTGCAAAAATGATTCTCTTCTATTCTTTCTCTGAAGATACAGGGTAGTATTTATACAAGTAATGAGCCTAACTAACATTAACTTATGAGCTGGACATGAGCTGGCATTAAGTGTATGTATTAACCGACTAACTGACACAGTAACTACCATAACTACCACTAACTAACTTGAGCTCACAAGACTCCCCCTCAAGTTAGAGGTGCAATATATTCAGCGCACCAAGCTTGCTAAGAAGATGAACGTGTGAATCCTGAGAGAGGCTCTTGGTGAGTAAATAAGCTTGTTGGACTTTGGAATGGACATAGACAGTCTTGACCACCCCTGCCTTGAACTCATCACGAATGAAATGACAATAAATCACAATATATTTTGTTCGTTCGTGAAAAATAGGATTAGCAGCCAACTGTATAGCAGATTTGCTGTCACATTGCAATAGAACATGAAGCTTGATGGGAACTCCCAGCTCTTGAAATAGACCAAGCAACCATGTGACTTTAGCTACAGCTGAAGCCATGCTACGATATTCAGCTACAGCTGAACTTCTGGACACTGTTTGTTGCTTCTTTGACTTCCATGAAATGAAAGATTCACCAAATTTTACCACATAACCTGTTACTAATCTCCTAGTATTGGGGCAAGTTGCCCAATCAGAATCACACCAACATTGTAACTTTGATGCAGGACCAGACCTCAACCAAATACCTTGTCCTGGAGAATTCCTCAAATATCTAACCACCCTAATAGCAGCCTCCCAGTCGGACTTCTTAGGGTGCTGCATGAACTGGCTCAAGGTGTGAATAGCATAGCTAATATCAGGTTTTGTTGAAGTAACATACATCAAACGACCAATCAATCTTTGATATGTACTAACATCTTCTAAAAGTGAGTCACCTGTGGAACCTGTTGCCTGATCATATGCAATTGTAGTTAACTTGATATTGGTCTCCAAAGGGGTAATTGCTGGCTTGGCACCACTGAGTCCCATTTCAGAAATGAGTTCTAGGACATACTTCCTTTGATTCAAAAGTACCCCAGTTGCTGACCTTAAGATTTCAATGCCCATGAAGTACTTGAGCTCACCTAAGTCCTTTAGCTTGAATTGCTGATGGAGTATCTCCTTTGCCTCAGTAATCAGCTGATCATTGCTGCCTATGATGAGCAGATCATCCACATACACCAGGATGATCACCATGTCATCTGGTTTCTTTAATGTGAATAAGGAGTAGTCATGATTGCTTTGTATGAAACCTGCTACTGCCAGTGCATCAAACAAATTAATGTTTCACTGTCTTGATGCCTGATTGAGTCCATACAAGGACTTAACAATTTGCAAACCTTCTGCTCCCCCTGCCTCCTAAATCCTTCAGGCATATCCATGTAAACTTCTTCATAAAGATCGCCTTGCAAAAAAGCATTGTAGACATCCATTTGGTATAAATTCCAACCTTTAGAAACATCAAGGCTATGACTGACCTTACTGTTACTATCTTCACTGCATGAGAGAAAGTATCATGATAATCTAGACCCTCTTGTTGGCTATAACCTTTTGCAACTAGTCTAACCTTGAACCTCTCAGTGTCTCCATTTGCTTGGTACTTGATCTTGTAGACCCATTTGGATCCTACAGTGTGTTTCCATGATGGTAAGTCTACAACTTCCCAAGTTTTATTATCCTCTAAAGCCTTGATTTCTTGTTTCATTGCTTCAATCCATCTAGCATATTTTGCAGCTTGTTTGAAAGATCTGGGCTTAACCAATGTAGAAAACTTTTCCAAATAGCTTTGGTACTTTGGTGTGACTTTGTCATAGGATATATAGTTAGTGATGGGATACTTACTGGTTCCCTTCTGTGTTGTGACATAATCTCTTAGCCAAATAGGTTGTATGGAGGTCCTGGAGGATTTTCTCAGTGGAATATGTGCAGCATCAGTGGTCGTGTCTTGATTAAGAGCATAAGGTTCATCTTCCTGTATTACTGGAGTGATACTTTCATATGGTGAGCTTTCCTACAACTCATTGTCTCCTTCTGCATTGTCTTCAACTGCATTGTCAGCTGTAAGTACAACTAAACCTTGATCCACATCTGAACCTTGACCTAAGTCTTGTGAGTTGTTTGCAACTCATGTAGACGGCATTCCAACATCAAGTATGCCAGAATCCAAGTGGTCAACATGAGGACTGTGATTGATGGAAATCTCCTGTTGTTTTTTGCAAATGGGAACACAGACTCCTTGAATACCACATCCCTACTTACAAATATTCTATTAGTAGCAAGTTCTAATAAGATATAAAGCTTCTGTCTATCCAAATATCCTATCAAGACTGATGCCTTTGCTCTTGCAGCAAACTTATCTCCTATTGGTAACAATTGAAGACAAACACAAGCACCATATCACTCTCAAGTGAGTTAAGGATGGAGGCCTTGTATATAGCATCTCATAAGGGCTTTTTCCATTAATAGCTGATGAGGGCAACTTGTTCATCAGGTATACTGCAGTAGTTACACAGATTCCCCAATATCTAATTGGTATTTTTTATTGAAATCTCAGTGCCCTTGCTACATCTAAGATGTGCCTGTGTTTTCTTTCCACAACTCCATTTGTTGTGGACTGTGAAAAAAGATGCTTTGGTGTAATATTCCAAAACCTTGTAATAGATCATTGCAATGCAAGTTGAAGAACTCTATGCCATTTAGGGTTGCTTATCGGGCGGATTGGGCGGTTATTTACTCTTAACGGTTTGGCTTATCGGTTATCGGCTTTTAAATGTATTAATCTGTTAGCCACCCGATAAGATATCGGGCGGATTGGTATCGGTTTAGCTCTTATCGGACGGTTATCGGGTGGTTTATCGGCCTAATTCAATCTATATTGCGTGCATTAATTATTTGGTGACAGCCTAGCATACAAATTCAGAATAGAAAATTACACATTGAGTCCAGACATACATGTCTGTTAATGCCTTCATAAGAATGATGTAGTGCGTCATGTGTTGTAGAGTGAAAAAAGCAGAACACACTGTAGGCTACATTACATCCCAAAGCAGACTACATATGAGTCTAGACATACATGTCTGTTAACACATTTGAACTTGTATCTCCCTTGTGAGGTTAGACCTTAGAAATATTGATTCTTGTTTATCATGGTTTTTTTTTGTTTCTTGAGTCCATCAGTATTGACTTTAATCTACGTTGGTCGATGATTTTCATTTATTGTGGACATTAAAGTAATCAGAGAGGAAGAGAATGGTTTTTGCAGTGCAAAATTCCCAAACAAAAGGACAAGCAAGAAAAATGGAGTTGTCATTTGTATTACTGTATAGTTATGCCACATCCTAGGAAGTTACGAACTGGGAAGAATTCAAGAATTCAACTCTTCAGTCACACGGTATTAAAGACTGTAGTATACGTATTTAGGAATTAAGCGTTAGAGATAGAGTACTGGAAGTGGAAGGGTTTTTGATATTTAATATATATATGGATAAAAATAAGTTATATATATATATATATGTATATATGTATATAACTGGTTAACGGATTATCCGTTAAGAAAATTGAATAATCCGGCCCCAAACCTATAAGCCGTTAATAAAAAAAATTCAATCCGTTCCCCGTCCGTTAAACCGCTAACCCCATACCAATAAGCCATTAAGCTTCGGTTTCGATTCGGTGTTCGGTTTCGGTTCGGTTTGAACACCCCTAATGCCATTGTCTGATCTCAACACTTTTACCATCACTCCAAATTGGTTTCTTACCATTAACATGAAGTTTTTAATTACAACAATTGTTTCAGATTTGAGTTGCAGCGAATGAATCCAAGTAAACCTACTAAAGTCATCCACAATAGTAAGGAAATAATACTTCTTGTCATAGGTGGGTGTTTTATAAGGGCCCCATAAATCCATATGAACAAGATCAAAAGGAGATACTGCCCTAAAAATACTAGTAGGAAACAACAATCTAGTTTGTTTAGCTAAGGGACACACAGGGCAATTATTCAGAAGATCATTATCCACAGTGCTTCCTAACCAATTTATACTTTTCATAGCAAAGGCCGAAGGATGGCCAAGACTTTGATGCCATAATCTGCAATCCTCATTCACTGCGACTATTGCTGCTACATTACAATCTCTACTGCTATTATTACTGCTACCTTTGACAATGTACAGATCACATGTCTCCTTATCAATCCCATTCACCCTGCCACTGTAAAGATCCTGGAAGAGGACAAAGTCAGGAAAAGAATTCACTGAACACCTCAGTTCTCTTGTGAGTTTAGATACTGAAAGGAGATTAAATTTGAAATCTGGTACATACAAGACACCTTTTATAACCTCAATACCAAGTAAAGATGCATGGCTTGTATGAGAAATAGGGATCTTATCTCTAGTAGGAAAATGTACTGTGTCCTTAGATTCTTTCTTAATGTTATCATTTGTTAATAAATCCATCGATGCAGCTATGTGATGTGTGGCACCTGAGTCCACAATCCACTCACTAGTAATATCTTTGGACATGAAACAAACTACAATACCTGCCATATTGCTTTGGCTATCCATGTTGTTTTGATTGTCAGCTAGTTCCTTGTTCAACAATGCTAAAATCTGCTTGTATTGTTCCTTCGTGAAGAATGGTCCCTTTCCAGCAAAAACATCCCGCAAGTCACAGCTAGAAGAGCATTGAGCACCTGCATTGCTAGAATCATTGTTAAGAACATTAAACTGTGGAGTTCCTCGACCAAATTGTCCATTTGCACCACCACTTCCACGACCAAATTGTCCAGTATTGAGCTGATTGAACCTTTTCTTCCCCTTAAAGTCTTCAGGATATCCAATGAGCTTATATCAATTTTCTTTGCTATGACCTTTGTAACCACAATGTTCACATTTCAAAAGGTTTCTTTCCCTTATAGCTTTGGTTACGACCAACCTGCATAGCTACTAGTTCATTCTTATTAATTACTGCATCCGTACCAGGACACTGTATAGATTCATCTTCGATCACCATCGCATAAGCTCGATTGATAGAAGGCACATTCGACTTCATGAGGATCTGCCTTCTAGCTTGGTCATAAAAGTCGTTTAATCCACTAAGGAATTGTAGCAATTTATGTTGGTCTAAATGATCAACATAATCCCTTGAATTGGCCTTGGGTACCATAGCATCATACTCAATCCATAAATCCTTTAATTTTGTGAAATAGCATGAAACAGAATCTGTACCTTGTGAGAGAGTGGCAATGGCTCGATGCAATTGAAAAATTCTCATGCGAATCTCTCCCTCAAGTCTTCACACACGAGATGAGTATTTGAAGCGTATGCAATTCCACACAAGAGTTCCGTGGATACTATGTTCATGAGCCATGAGAGGACAATAACATTACAAGTTTTCCATTGCTCTTGTTGCTCAGTACTACATGATTCCTTCGTACAAGTTCCATTCACAAACCCTAGCTTTCTCTTCCCAAGTAGTGGGATCTTTATCGTCCTACACATAGCCCATAATTCTAAGATCCTGTAAGCTTCACAAGGATCAGACAACGCCCGGAGTATCTGCTGGACCTAGATACAATGGATGTGTGTACGAATTGTTGATTTTGCCATAATTGGTTCTCGCACTTTAACAATTTCGGAAATTAGAAATTGATGTCCAAGGATCGATCGATGACCGAGAATCTAATTGACTTGTATCCGCTCTAATACCATGCTAAAATCTGCTCTTATACTGAGTAGGTTTGTAGTAGCTCTGCACTGCTCTAATGGTAGAAGCTTCTAGAGCACAAAAATGAAGAAGAAGCAGGCATTGCAAAATGATTCTCTTCTATTCTTTCTCTGAAGATACAAGGTAGTAGTTATACAAGTGATGAGCCTAACTAACATTAACTTATGAGTTGGACATGAGATGGCATTAAGTGTATGTATTAACCGACTAACTGACACACTAACTATCATAACTACCACTAACTAACTTGAGCTTACAAGAGTATTCTCTATATATGATTGAAGGTTTGTCTTGACTCCAACTTAAGATCGTGATTTAGAGTGAGTAGATATCTACACGAACAGTACAATCAATTTTCTTCTCTCAATTTCTACTATCTTTCTTTTTTTTGGGTGAAATAATGGAATGATATATGTATAAAAGAAATTGAATTGAAAGAATGCCAGTGAAGGTTGATCTTTTAGCTGTATCACCTTTTACAACAGAGTATACAAGAATATGAGAAATGTAATGCTTCATGATAGTATTTGAAGCAATTTTCTTGGTCCGTAAAACATCTTAGCACTTTCTCCTACAATGTGAGTGACTGCTTTTTCTTGTATAAGAGACGTTTGATAAATTTATTTCTAGAAAAATGTTTCTATTATGTTGGGGATCAAGAAAGATGAAAAGGGACAGTTAGAATTGGAAACCTTGGTGTCAAGTGTTTTGTTAAGACGCCAAGCCCAGAAGTGGTTCCTCTCTTCTTCGATGCCGTCGAGACTCTGCTCAAGTGATTTTATTTTGCCTCTCTTTTATTCGGATACGTCTTATTTTTGTTGTGATTAAATAGCTTGAGTTTCCGGGTCAAACTATTTCTTCATGCTTCATCTTGTGTTCAACTCTTGTTTTTATAGTGTTTTTGTTGTTGGAATCCTCAATCTTTTCAGTTGTATGGAATGTATCTTAGAAATTTCTTTCTGTAGCCCCGTTATATTTTTGTCTATGTTGCGGCGACTCTCCAAAATGCTACCGCATCCGTGTCGGATCCTCCAAAATGCACTACTTTTGAAGGATCTAACACACATTTGATATTATTTTCGAAAAGTCCGAGCAATATAAATTTTTATTGACATTCAGATCGGATTTTACCAGTTTGTCATTTATTCGTGAAACCACAAAACAAGATTATTCCTAATCTATAAAGAGTTGAACCATTGTTGTTTTGCTCCAATTACTGAAAGAGGTTTATTTGGGAATTAATACTCCTTGACAGTTGTAATAGCCTTTTTAAATTAAGTTCTCTCAAACCAGATTAGCTGTTTATATTTATCCTCATGTTTAGTTGACATTAAGCACAGGTACTCGAGAAGATGAATTGAGCAGAATACCGTTAACGATAAAGTTGACAACAAAAACATACCCATATTATCCCAAATCGTAGGGTCTGGGGAGGGTAGCGTGTACGCAGACCTTACCTCCACCTAATTTGTAAATTTATTTACTTTAAGGCTTTGAATGATCATGGTAATATGTGCTGATTTAAACATGAATACAAAAAATTTGAATGATCTAACTAATAATGTACAATAGACGCAAACACACCAATTAAGTATGGTGAACCTGCACGCATTTTGCCTAAAGTTGTAATTTTTGGCTGGTTAAGCCCGAGAAATAGAAAATAATCAGTAGAACAAACAGAACTATACTCGCAATTGATAAATAAAATTATTTTTCTATTAAAATAGAAAAAAAATTTTAGTCGCAACTCAAATTATTTACTCGAGTATTATTATATAAGAATAATTTATTATAAAGTATGATTTGTTATATAGGTAAGTCTATAAAACAAATTAAAAAAATTATTTTAAAGATAAAAAGTGACAAATTATAATAATTTAAAGGACAAAACAAGTACTTAAGAAATTCAATTGAGATATGAGGAGATAATGTTAGATTGTTCAAATTGAAATCTGGGGTTTGGATTATGTTGATGTGAAAAACAAAGTTGGAGCGGAAACATGATTTTTACCCTCTGATAACTGTAAAAAAAAGCTTTAAAGAAAGGCAAAGGAACCGCATCGGACGGCTCTAATCGCTCAATCAGATCTGATATTAACAGGCACTAACTATTTATCTAACAGAGAGAGAGAGAGAGAGCGCGCGCCACATCAGCTTGACATAACTCTCTGCTGATTGCTCACAGTAGAATCATCGTCGTGACCGCTTTCGATCGAGCTATCTCTCAGGTTCTATCTCCGATTATTCTTTGTGAAAGTCGTTTTGTTTATGATCGTTTTGGATTGTTCACTTTAATTTAGGGTTTTTTATGCTTGTTTCTGATTGATCAAATGGAGATTTAGTTGTATTTAGCTGTGAAAGGTTGGAATTACGACTTTTATGTTTGCTATGCCTTGGGGTTTTAGGCTGGTGATAACAGTTGCAACGATTGAACCCCGAGTTTTTGCTATCTGTATTTGATTTTATTTAATCTTTTAGGTACTCTTGTGCGTGTGTCTCTCTCTCCGTGTGTGTGTGTGTGTGTGTGTGTGTGTGTGTGTGTGTGTGTGTGTGTGTGTGTGTTGAGTTGGTAATAGCAGTTGTCACGACTGAACTTTTACTATTCTGGATTTGAGATTTTTTTGTTTAGGCACTCTTGTGTGGGCGCCTGTGTTTATGGTGAGGTGGTAATAGCAATTGTCAAGACTGGGCTTTTACTATTCTGGGTTTGAGATTTTTGTTCTTGTTTTTTAGGTACTCTTGTGTGTGCATGCCTGTGTTTATAGTGAGGTGGTAATAAAAGTTGTCAAGACTGAATTTTTAGTGTTTAGGGTCTGCGAATTTAGGGTTCTTTAGGCATTTGGGTAATGATGGCTTTTGTTAGACGTAATTAACTTGTTGGATGAAGGTTGGGTTATCTCTTGAGCAACGTGAGAAGTTCTTATTTTTCACTCTCTCATTATTTATATTTTTTTATCAACTGAATGTTACTTTCTATGTTTCAGGGGTCAATAAATACCTGGTGAGATGGGTAACAACGGTGCTGAAGACGTGAAAATTTGTGGGTTTGATGATGCTAAATGTCCTGAGACCACTGTTGAAATAAAGATAAAGACATTGGACTCGCAGACATATACATTGCGAGTGGATAAATGTGTAAACATCTTTTGCCTTTTGTATTCTGTGCCTTAAGGAAGAAGGCTCTTATACCTGTCAAAGGGGAGAAAAAAGGAAAGAAACAAATACGGAAGGGCTATTCTTCCATTAGTAATTTGTTTATATAGTTCGTTAGGAAATAGAACCTTTTAAGCAATCATTTCCAGTGCATATGAGCCTGTAATATCTATGAGAACTCCAGTTCCATTTTCATGTCTGATTTGAAGCAGAATCACATGTACACTAATCATTCTATTAAGTTGACATTGGTAGCTCTTTTCTCTCTTTCAAACATGCTTCAATACTCATGATATTGCTTTTTCTCTTTTTTCTTTTTTTTTGCTTTGAATGCAGGTTCCAGTTCCAGCACTGAAGGAACAAATTGCCACAGTTACTGGTGTCTTGTCAGAACAACAACGGCTCATATGCCGGGGAAAAGTGTTGAAGGATGATCAGCTCCTTTCAGCTTACCGTATCCTTCTTGTTATTCATTGTTCTTCAAGGGTACCACTACTTGTATCCAATCCTAGGATTCTGGGACTTCAATTTAGATACTTGAATTCCTTCATCGATTTACATAATAGATGTAGAAGATGGACACACTTTGCATTTGGTTGTGAGGCAACCTTCATCAGAGAGCACCCCTGATCTTCAAGGTTTGTTATGGTTTGAGCCGTAATGTGTTTCATTTGGAAGTAGACATGAAGTTCTAGAGCAAGTCAAACTTCCCTTGTTGTGTAGGTTCTGCTCTTGTGATCTCACTTTGTTGTTATAATGTTTAATTGTTGGATATTTGGAAACTTAGTATTGGTGAGGAAAGTAATCGCAGATAAAACAAATCAAAGACATTTCGAGTAAACCAGTTGTTTTCAACCTAGGTGGTTGAGTTGACCCAAAAAACAGCCTTGGAGGTTGAAAAAAGGGTAGAAGAAACAATACACAAATTGATGAATGCTTTATATAGATCCTATCATGTTTGCGAGTTCTTTCTAGTCTTCAAAATTTATGGAAACTTGTAGGGACTGCTAGAAGAAAAAATAATTTTGATGGATGTTTTATGTAGATCCGGTCATGTTTATGAGTTTCATAACCTTCGAGATTTATGAAAACTGTAGGGACTGCTTCTGCATCAAGTTCTGGGCATATTCAAGGAAACCGAGTGGGTCCTGGTGTAGTTGTTGGAACGTACAACTTATCCGAACATGGAGATGGAACTTTCCCTGACCTGAATCGGGTGAGCATGCTTCTTATTTTTTCCTTGTGACAGTGTATGTAGACTATTTGCCTTATGTTTCAGGAAACAAATTAATTTCTACTTTCATATTTAAAAGATTATCTCAGCTGTGCTTGGGTCATTTGGAGTTGCAAGCGTTGGCAACGAGGGGATTGATCTCAATGTAAGTTTCAACAGGCCTCACTTTTGATCCTACTATGCTGATTTTTGACTTTTCCCCTGTTCTGTGGAGGACTGCTGGAGGTGGTTCAATAACTTTCACATTTATTTCATGTTTACTAATTTTCTTTGTCAAAGGTTGACGAATTGCATGTGGACCCACTCATCTCTTCTTGGGTGTGTGGTTTATAAAGATGCCAGGCACACCCACTTTGTGCTCTTTTTGAGGGTTGTTTGACTTAAAAATTGTTAAAAGTAATATATCCAAAATTTGACATAATATATTTGCCGATGCTATGAATTGTATTACTCAGGCTTTCCCATTTTACATGAGGTAGTTTTGTTGTGAAGAACCTTCTAAAGATAAGTATAACTTGCATATTATGCTAGTGAGAGTAAAAATATATTAAAGTGAAAGAAATTTGTGTGGTAAGGGAGACATCATATCTTAAAGTTGAATTAGTCATAAATGAACCAGAATTTTCAGAGGAAGTCTGGTTTGTATTGACACCAAAAACCAAAAAAGGTAAAAAAAAAAAAAAGAAGAATCGTCTCAAACATTTTAGGACATTCCAGATTGAGAAAATGTGTCATATAAAATTTGGATGGAGGGAGAATGATGTATTGAAATTTTCAGATCATCTTGATGAACAGAGAAGTTGGTATTGGTAAATGGAAGTGTTAATCTGTGAAGGTGTTCGCATGACAATAAAAGGAAAATACCACATGTTGGAGCAATTAATGAGCATGCTGCAGTACTGTTGTACTTGGAGATTAGGTCAATACTTGACGACGCCTTTATGCGCTTGTGATATTTAAGTTGTAGTTATGTGGAATGGTTGTACTTTAATGGACAATTATATATTTTTTTTGTAAGAAAGTTCATTTTCACATCAAATACATTTGTACTCTCCATGTATATTATACATGTAATAGAATCACCTCTATTAGCAATAATTTCTTCTTGCTTAAGCGCGGGAGGAAGGGCCTTCCTCCCCTCTAGTTTCAAATACATAGAGCAAGCTATTCTATAATTTACCCTTCATTGAAGAAAAAACCCTTTAATGAAAGAAATCGAATGTGACTATTATAGTGTGAGTTTTCTTTTATTTCAAGTACTAACTAACATGATTGATTTCTATGATTTACAACACTAATTGTGGTAATCTTGGAATGCCATATAACATTAATATTACATCATTAAAACTTTAATAACCATAAGAAGGGAAGGTAGTTATTCACTTTTCTTTAAAAAATGTGGCGTGCAATGTAATCTTGTAAACTGGAATGGAAGTGTAAATGATTTCTGTTGATAGAATGGGAGGTTAGTGGTTTACGCTGGTGGAGTCCTGTGCATGGATAGTGGTTTTCAAATTAAAAGTTGCAAACGACATATGATATACATGTTTTTTTATGTTGTGTTCCAAACTTTGGGACCTTCTTGGAAATTGACATTTTCCATCCTTGGTGAAAACTTTTTTCATTCTAAAAGCCTTGCTCAGCACAAACTAAGAACCCATCATGTTTCCAAGGAGATCCTGCATTTTAACCCTAGTTAAACTTTCATGTGCTCTAAAAGGCTGCAGACAATTTTCTTCTGAACAAGCCCTATTTCTATATTTTGAAGACGTACATGCATTTTGTTTCAAAAGGCATGATTTTCCAAAAGGTGCCATTTAGCCCGTGAAAATATACTTGCAAAAGTTGTCCAAACTTGGGAGGGTTGAGTCGGGTATATATTCGTTGACATGCCAATTTGGGCATAACCCAAACAAGTTCATCTACAAGTTTGGGTCAATTTGAACTACCTATACCGCAAATTGACCAGTGACAAAACTTGTCAAATGAAATTGAAATAATTTAGGGTTTGGTTTGTAGGTGGAAAAAACTTTTTTTTAAAAATAAATTTGGAGTGCTAATTAAGAGTATTTATTGCATTTGTTTTCAGTTGGGCGGGTTTGTTTATGACCAATTATTTAGCCATATTTACCGCCTATTCTTTTTTTAGCTATTCATTTTTCACGTAAGTTGTATGTGTGTTTTGTGTTATTTATTACTAAATCAAAAAAGATAACATAATGAAAGATATATACAACATTTTTAAGGAGAATTTTTTTGTTTAATTAAAAAGGACAAATAATGAACACAAGGAAATAATAAATTTTTTAGAATTAATAGTAACTTTTTGAAAAATCTGATTCAAGAACCATACATGCATCTTTTGTGCATACGGCTCTACAAAAAAATTGACCTTCCTTTCTTTCTAGGTAAATGGTCAAATTGTCATTCTTCCTTTCGAAGTTAAATTGCAGCTACAAAGCTGCCCCCCCCCCCCCCAAACGGAACAAAATGAAGATAGAGGTTGCATTTGATATGGATCTATATATCATTCTTCCAATTTTATCTTGATATATGTGACATACCCTCGACATACCATCTATTCCACTTATTTGCTATATCTGTTTGTTCTGACAGTTTGAATTACTCCTATGTCTTATAGTTTGAATTACTAGATCTTTTATTTCCAATTGAATCTCGGTATCTACTGAAAGAATCAAATCATTGAAGGAAGAGATATAGGCATATTCAAAAGATCACGTAGTAATCTTTTTTTTAACATTCCGAAGAAGTAATTGAGTAAACCATTGACATTAGTTCCAGGGGCGGCGAAAAGGAAGAGTAAACCTCACGCCTTTTTACGCATGAACCTTGATATGAAATAAGTCGATGAAGATAAATTCGTTTTCAAAAATTTGAAAGTGATAAATGTGCAATATGCCTAGTATCTTGTTGTACAACCACTATGTTTTCCTGCAATATGCCTAGTATCTTGTTATACAACCACTATGTTTTCCTTTCTTTCTCATACAAAGTGCGTATACATACAAAGTTTGAAGAAGGAGAGGGAGAAGGAGATCCGGCAGGAGGATTTATTCAATCACATAGTTTGGGCTCGTAATGAAATTGGTTCTCGAGTGTATCTTATCAATCTTTTTTGGCTAGAAGCTCTTGAATTTTCGTTCTATTTCTATAAGAAGATTCATTTAATCATTTTATGAATGCATCAAAAAAGATGGTAGTTTTCGAAAATTACAAAAAGGAGATTTACTTCGTTTATAATGTCACTGTTCGAGGAAATAATGTTCTTTTATTAATTGAAAAAGTCAAATAATCAATACAGGGAAGTAATGAAGTATTAAAATTAATTTTAACTATTTGACAAATATGGTAGTTTCTGAAACTTAGAAAGCAGATATTATGCATTTCTGATGTCACCATTCAAGGAAATAATGAAAGTTTTATTACTTTATAAGGTTAAATAATGAATACAAGGAAATAATAAAGTTTTAAATATTAACTGTAAGCACAATTTTACCCTACATCTTTGTTAAAAAAATATTTTAACTTTACTTGGTACGCACTTACTAAGAGTGAATAAAGTTCACCAATGCTTTGTGTTGGAGTTTTTGGAGTTTCTGCTTGTATAGTTGAATAGATAAGTAAATTTTCCTGCCCATCTTGACCAAGTAAAGATAGGCCATGCTATGACCTATGTTGCTCGGACTCTCCGAAAATGTCAGTGGGTGCGTGTCGGATCCTTCAAAAATAGTGCATTTTTGGAGGATCCGACACGGGTGCGGCGCTATTTTGGAGAGTCCGCGCAACATAGGCTATGACCCAGCCCATTTATTGACTAAACCTATTCAATCTGTCCAAATTTAGCACAAGTTGCCCATTTGACACAGCTAGTTTAGTACATTTCCGGGCCTCGAGGAATATATCAAGTTACCTAAATGGATAGCTTGGCAAAACAAAGTTTATTGGCTAAGCCTGAGATTTAGTTTATGAAAAGCCATTGCTTCATTGCTTGAAGCGATGCAAAGCGAGGGGGTTATTGTTTCATGGGTGAAACCATGCGCTTTAGAGAAGTTTGCGCTTAAAAAAATGGTGCACAAAGTGATCCCAATGAGAATTGATTGCTTCTTTGAATCTTAACTTTGAGGAGTGGATTAATATTAGCAATTATATACCGGATGCTGAAATTAGGTAGTTTAGTGGTAATTTTCAAAAAAGTTGGTAGCAATTTAACTTTAATTGTACTAAATTCATAGATGTTTGGTATTTTTTTAATTTCCATAAATTGTGGACTTATAATTTTAAAGAAGGTGTGATTGACTTCTCGCTTTTTGCTTCAAGCTTCATGGACCTTGTCGTTTTTCTTTTTCTGGCCTTTTGCTTTTAAAAACACAGTGCTGACTGCTGAGTGATATTAGTGACTGCATATGACATGTCTGATTCTCTAGGAACTTCAACTTATTGTAGTAGCTCTGTTCACTATTTACAGTTAGGTGCTGTTTCAATATGCTCTTTATTTAGGGCTTACTAGTGTTAACTTGCATGCATACACATGCACCCTCATTTCATTGGGGGTTGGGTCTTGGGAGGGGGAGGGGGAGGGGAAGGAGGAGTTGATTGCAGGACTTGATTAATTGTTTTGTAACTTGTGGACATCCATGCTGTCTCATCTGTAGGGTCTTGGTGCAGCTAGTATGGGAAGTATGAGAAATTCTGACCAACTGCCGACTGAACATGCTAGTACAACCAATCAATCTGGTTCCGGTATTGGCGCTTCTGCACGTGCAACAGGTTTCCCAGTGGAAGCTCTGCAACCGCCGGTAACTTTTCCATCAAATGTTTTCAGGCATACTCTTTGTTTGATGTACAAAGCAACATGTTCTCCATCTCCAGTATCATTTCAGTGGTAGAACATTATTGGCACTTATTCCAGCTTTTCTCCTTTACGGCTCATTTATCTGTGTTTTTCTTGCAGGTTATTCCCGATTCTCTGACAACTTTAACACAGTATTTGACTAATTTGACTGAAGAGTTCAGAGCAAATGGTAAAAGTCCCTTTCTCTTCTTTGCCACTGACAGCCCTCCCTGGAAAGGGATGAGAGGTAAAAACTGTTCTTATATGTGTAGTCTACTGTTGGCAGCAAGGAGACAAAATGAGATTGCACTAACTGCTGGGATCTGTGGAGCTGATAGACCAGATTCTAATGCACCCTCACATACCACTAGACAGAGAGGCCTTCCAACGCCTGCATCCTTGGGAGAGGTGATGCTCTCGATGCAACGATTACTCACTGAACAAGCTGCAGAGTGCTTGTTGGTATGTGCTTTAACTTTTAGCAAATTCTGTTTAAGCCTTCCTTTTTTATAAAAAAAAGTTTCTGGGGATTTGTTCTACTTATTATCCTCTTGAAGCTAACCCGCAGTTCGAGGATAGACTTCTTGAAACCAGTTGAGGGAGAGTTACTTCCCTTTTATACAGGAGAGGGATAAGTTATGAAGCTTCCTATATCTGGAGCTACTTAACATCACTAGCTTTTTTGGAATGATGATAATGAGCTAGCAGCAAGTGATTGAAGTAGTGCTGTAGAAACCTTGGAGCCAAATGCATTCTACTAGTTTTGCGTGAATCACATGAATTAAAAGTTAACTTTATTGTTACTAAACGTGATAGGACTCAAAGTTTATGGTTGTTTTATGATTACCTATTTAGTTTCTTTAATAGTACTAATATTCTACTTCTAAAAAAAGTTATTGAAAAAAAAGGATTATCCATCAAACCAAAAAAGAAAGCTGAAAAAGAGAAGTTCTGGATTGTGCCGTCTCTTAAGGGACTACCATCAAGGTTCTGTTTGGCCAATGCTTGTCTTTTCTTTTCTGACTCTGTAGCTTTCTCATTCAACTGAAGCAAAATGAAGTATAATATTGTTTTTCCTCCTTTTTACAACTTTCAAAGCCTTTTAAAAAAAGAACTTAAAATTGGTATTTTTGTTATGTGGAAGTACCAATCACTGTTAATCTCTTCTTTTATACCCATCAAGCTTCAACTTACGACAATTATTTTACATGACTTGAATGATCTGTAGAGTTAGATATCTGAATTTGTAGCAAAACTGCTCTTATATCATAACTGCACTTAATGACAATTCTTTATGGGTTTGGTCTTCCCTCGATGCTAAGGAAAAGGAATATTTTAGTATGTCTACACAGTTGTAGCTGGAGGCACTATTCAGCATGAAGCAGAATGTTTGTTCCATGTGACAATTAATTTTATGGTATTTCCTGCTCTGCACTTGACTGCAGCAATTTTCGAGGCTGCTAGAGAATCAAGCAAATATCACAGAACCAACACAAAGAATGAGAATTCAATCGCATGCTTTAAGAACTGGAGATCTATTCCAAAAATTAGGTGCTTTGCTGCTTGAGCTTGGTCGGACAACAATGACATTGCGAATGGGTCAAACAGCGGTAGGTTTAATTTCAATTTGGATGAGGGTAGTATTAATATTATATCCTGGATTTGCTTGTCATTGTGCTGGCAAGAATGTAAATCGTGCTGACAAAGGAACAATGAACTTAGGAGGATGCTGTGGTGAATGCTGGACCTGCTGTTTTTGTGTCTACTGCTGGCCCTAATCCTATTATGGTTCAGGTGTTTTACTTGTCTGAGATATACGTTATTTATCAAAGCCCATTGATGTGGATACTCAAGTTCATTATGTTTGATGATGTGCAGCCACTACCTTTCCAGCCGGGTGCAAATTTTGGTGCCATTCCTGTTGGAACTGTACAAAATGACAGCGGACTTTCTGGAACATCTATTGGTTCTGGTTTTGCTCCTAGGAATATTGACATCAGAATACGAACAGGTTTTTTCTCGTTCTTGTTTGTATTGATGGCACCCTTTAGGATGGACGTGAACCTTTTTTAGATTCAGGCGCTAGATCCACGTCTTGTTCATGCTTATCTTCTACTTGTTACTCACTCACCTGTACCATTAGGTTCATTTACGCCTTCAACTCTTAATCGAAGAGAGCCTGCTGGTTCACAGCGTCCAGTTCAAGCTACTCCTGCAGCTTCTAATGGTGGAAATCCTGATCAAGAGACCAATGGAGGCGCTAGAAGCTCTTCTGCCATGGAGTCTGGAGTGCGGGTGGTTCCTATCAGGACAGTCGTTACTACAGTTCCAGCTTCTGTTGGGCATTCAGCTTCTGATTTATCTCGAGGTTCCATGGGATTATTTTATCCAGTTTTAGCAAGAGTTCAACATATCAGCTCCAGGAATTCTAATAATTCTGCACCTGCTCAAGCATCTGCTGTAAATAATTCACATGGAGTTGAGGCTGAACAACCGCCTAATCCTGATTCTGCTGGGGAACGGCAAACTAGTGGATTTGCTGGTGCTGAAGGTAATTAACTAACCATGCAATAATGTCGTCTTTTTCCTCTCAGCAGGAATTTGGCCCTTTAAGATTTCTTCTGTCAGGTTTCTAAACATTAGGCTGAAAATGGTCGAGTCGTTACAGGGTTTATGGAGTACTATTTGAGTGATCTCTTACTGTTTGGTGGCACATTACATCCACCATTTTTTATGATAAAGTGGCGATAAGTATGTCCAGTAAAGAATTAGACCTTTATCTTTGTTGCTTTCCACTGTCACTGGCATTTGATTTGAGTACATGTCCTGTCTCTTCCACTATATCTCAAATCAAATTTCATAAAACCTGTATCGATGAGTAGTTATGCTTGCATCAACATTGTTCTTAGCTGTTATACACTCCCATTTGAATTGTCAGGCAGATGATCTTTTAAGTATGGAAGGTTGATTCTGGTCGGGGTGTTAGTTTGTGTCTGTAGTTTATGAATAGAGGAAGGCATAAATGCCATGTGGGTATTATGGCTTTTGGTTTTCTGATTGCTTGGTCTGGTATAATTTCTGAGGTTGCTGTTGATATATTTGAGTATTCATATTCATGCAAATAAAACCCCAAAACACACACACACACAAAGACTCATTTTTGTTCTTTCTAAAAAAAAAAAAAAAAAAAGGGACTCATTTTTGTTTGGGATAACGGGTTTCAGGTAATTTTGGCTCATTTAGTGAACTATCAAGCAGTGGCGAGTTCTCCACACAGTTTCAAAGTAGAATTGACCAAATTTATAGGTCATTTTTCACTGGAGAAAATCCAAATCCTGAGAATGTCAGTGGGGGTAACAATTCTGCCACTGGAGGTAGTGTGGCTGCTGAAGACATTGGTAATTCTCAGGCTACGCCCATGGCAGCAGGCGAGGAAGGAGTTATTTTGTCAAATATACTTCGTCATATCATGCCGATTATCTCTGAATCTGCAGGAACCGATAATTCATCTAGTGATAGACCAAATCTTGACGAGGATAGAAGTGACCATGGTTCAATGCAGGTATTTTCATCCCCTAGACATCTTGTTTAGTAGACGAATTTGTGGTCATAGTAGGTTTGAAAGAGATACAACAGCTTATTTTTCTGAAAAAGAAGACTCGATAGATTCTTGAAGGCCATCACTTGTGAAACAGAAATACTTACCAGAACTCTCTATCTAAAAATATTTTGCCTTGTCACAGGGTCAAGAAAACACGGAGCAAGCAAGTTCTTCAGACAGGTGCCACAATCTTTCATTGCCACCAAGTTCAAAGCGTCAAAAGGTAAGTGCCCTTTTCTCCTTATCGTATACTTCGAATAACTGCCAAAGAGAAAGTTAAGCTGCAAAGCTATGCCGCACTCCTCCTGCTGGGCAGATAATATACAAAAAAGAAAAAAAGTAGAGGGATGAAGGGTTGGGGCAGGATAGAGTGAGAGTAGGAGCAGATATGGTATGTCATGATTGAGAGGATTTTTATTTTTTAGGTTCAAAATTATGAGGCCGATTGCTGATAATCAATGTCACATGAACTACCTAAGTATACAAACATTGGTGACCCAAAACTTTGCTAAAGGTTAAAGTCATTTGCCTGATTGTGTTTTGGGGAATGGGAAGGAACTAATATGCCGACTCTTCTTCACTAGAAGTCAGGAAGAATGAAATGTGTTTTTTTGGTCAAATCTGTATATTAGAAAATTTGGTTTCAGAGTAAATTGACAGGTTCTGGACACAATCTTAACGCGTGTAATTTTATTACCCTTTTTGAAATAGAGCTGAAAGTAGTATCAGGTTTCTTTCTATTTGACCAAGAAGTGTTAGTTTAAGATATTTCTAACTAGATTAACTGTTCTTTTGGATTGCAAAACCTTCTGGATGTAATCCAACTTTGGCTCTACTTTAATGTGTACGTAGTAATGATGGGTGGTGAGATGGTGATTTATCGTTAAGGCAAGTGAAGTTGCTCTAGTGAGCAAAGTGGGATAGGACACTCCCTGATTGGAGGGGTTTTTTTTAGAAGGGGGTGGGGGGTTTATCATACTGGGAAAACAGTGTTGATTAATGGTTAACTTGGTAAATCTGAATATTTTTATTATACAAGTGTTTTGTTTGCTTGATCATTCTATGAATACTTGTTGGGGTTACAGTAAACAACATGAACAAAATCTTTTGTTGGTTTGAAATGTGTTTAACTACCTTTAGTGTTACAGGCTGATTAGTTATTTCACATTGCATGTTCACCTGTCCAAAAAATAATATTACTGCTTTATGATGCAGCGAGAATGATTTCAAGGTCCCAGTTCATCCAACGGTTCCAGCCATGATAATGCATTGCAGCCTTCTTTTTGATGTTTCGATCTGTATAACAAGATCTGAGCGCTGCTTTGGCAGCACAGCTGTTGTAGTGAACACTTTCCAGATTCTATAGTATTGCCTTGTTGGTCCTCCATTTTAGTTTCTGCATTTTTGGCTCTTCATTCTGGATATCAAGGAAGTATATGATTAAGTGTATAATCATATAGCAAGTCAGAAGGTCCTTGCATGGACAACTAAGTTATAGTTCTCATTTTTAAAGATCTATTATGATATTCTTCAAACAAATGTAGAAGAGGTTGAAGAAGGGACAATGATCCTGAATTTGTGAGGCAACGGAGAGTTGGGATGGGGGTGGGTGGGCGGGCGCTATTGGCAGCTGTGATGATCACCTTTATCCCAGTTATATACAACAATATTTAAAAAAAACTCATGCTTGTGACAAAGATGGAGACTTTTTCTAGTATATCTTTTGTTTCTACTCTATAATTTGTTCAATCAGACTTCCGTATATCATGCGAAATTAAATGTATGCTTGTTTGATGTTTCCCTAAACAGAAAATAGAAGCGCTTATATTTCTTTTTGAAAGAATTACGGCCCTTGTCACTTGCCCTAGCAGCCCAACCGAAAATGGCCCAGATTTGAAGCTCTTATCCTATTTAGTCCATGTTGTACATAACTTGAAAGAAACTTTTCAGCCTTTAGCCTATTACTAAAGACATACTTCTAGGATTTTTATTATTTTCTTCTTTCTTCATTCCCAGCACAACAAATTCTCTCTCACCGCCTGTCGCTTCTTTCTTTCCAACCCACATAGATCCCTCATCCTCTCTTAACCTAGCCCCTGCTATTCCCCCTCCCCTACCCCCCTATGCAGTTCTGCCATCAATGGCTCGAAGAAGGCTCGGGCTCCTACTCCGTCGTCCATGGTGGCAAGCAGAAGAATATTGATGATTTTTGAAATTGGGTCTGACTCTTTGCAGTTTGAAACCTTAATTTCCAATGTCTGGTCGAGCTCCGAGGAGAAAAGATTGGAAGCTAAGTCAATCTTCAACACGATGAAGCAGAAAGCTCCAGACTTGCTTGTTCTTAAGCTTGTTGACCTTCTTGGCTCATCGCAAGTNCATTTTTAGAGTTGCCCATTTTCTGAAACCAACACTACCCTCTGCCCAAAAGCTCCCATTTTTCCCTTCTACACCCAATGTTCAAGAACTGAGAAGTTCTCCGCTAAAGGGCAGAGATGATTTTATCTATGGTCATTGAACTTTTATATTTGTTACCCAAAAGTTATTTTTTCTTTCTTTTGTTACACAAAAATGATTTTACTTTGCTCTAGTTATCACAAAAGTCATATTTTTACTTGAAAAGTCTATTATGTACTTGATATTATATAAACCTTCATATTTATGTAATACCTTCTATATTATATACTATATAATATAGTTTTAATTATGTATTTTATTTAACTTAATATTATTTTATTTATTATTTTTATAATATATCGTATATTTAATTTTTTCTTAACTTTAATTTTCAAGATATATTAGTAGCATTATAAAACAACTTTTTTTTAAACAATTCCTTTTTTTGAATTTAATTGACCGACCAAAGTTGGTCGCGTTTTGGACGATTATTGGCCATTATCGACCAACTTTGGTCATTTTTTTGGACGGTTTTTTCCAAATTTCTAGTAATGTAATTTCCCAAATAACCAATTGCCCAGGTAAATCCCCAAGAAAATATCCCCAGCTAAATTCGCATGTAGTACCTAGAGTTTTCCTTCAGATTAACATATGATTTTTTCCTCATTTTCTTTGTTTGTTTACAACCGAATTTTCTCACGAAATGTACTTGCCGACTTATTTTTCTACTAATATTTGTTAAAGTTACTGACGAATTTAATAACGCTACTAATATATTTTGAAAATTAACGTTAAGAAAAAATAAAATATACGAATATATTATAAAAATAATAAATAAAATAATATTAAGTTATTTTATTTATAAATATAATACATAGTTAAAAATATATTAAATAGTATATAATATAGAAGGAATTACATAAATATGAAGGTTTATATAATATCAAGGGCATATAGACTCTTCAAGTAAAAATCTAACTTTTGTGATAACTAGAGCAAAGTAAAATAAATTTTGTGTAACAAAAGAAAGAAAAGTGACTTTTGTATAATGAACACAAAGTTGGATGATTTTTACGTAACAAAAAAAAAAAGTGACTTTTGCGTAACAAACACAAAAATTCAATGACTATAGATAAAATTAACTCAGCCATTTGTAGTCTATTCTGCCCCAGTAGAACCAGACACTGTGCCTATTAAGGATTTCCGTCGAGTTTTTAAACCCAGAACAATTAATTGACGATTGGATTTGAAGAAAAGACTTGGGCGGCCTTTTGAATTAAAAAATAATTTGGTGTTATTTTAAAAAAAAATTAAACTGGAAACAATTAAATGCTTATGTTTTTGGTCCTTTCCAGACAACCAAAAAAATCTTTTAAAAAACAAAAGAAGTGTGTTTATTATGAGAAAAAAAGAAGAAGGACTAAAACAAATCTTTGCCGAAACTAATTACATCCAGTAGCCACGAAAGTATATAAAATTTGTATATATGTTGTATATATAATAATAATAATAATAATTATTATTATTATTATTATTATTTTTATTTTTATTATGAAATACATATTTATATGGATGTCCACTAATCAAATATAACTCCCACTACTCTTCTCCATTATGTAGATAACCCCCACTACTTCTTACCATTATGGATGTAACTCCCACACCTCTATGATCTTCCCCCATGTTCTCAATAGTTAATACCATGTTTATGGAGTCCCTTTGTATGACCTATATCATCCTATAAATAGAGGGTTTGGGCATCACATTGTACACACTTGAATACATGGAAGAAATAGATTCTCTCCTCTCTTTCTCTCTACATTGTTGTCTATCTTCTTGTTTTATTATTACTTTGAGCTAAGTTTCGTAATAATTTTTTATTTTTCCAAAAAAAGGAGAAGAAGTAGAAAGCGGGTTTGGGCTAGGATTATTAAGTTGGGCTGATTTACAGGCCCTAAATCAATATCACGGGCTAAGTGAATGTCATGGCTAGGGTATCAGTAGTATAAACTATAAAGGCTTTAGTAGCTCACAATTCAATCCAATCTCCGCCTAGGGTTTTTGCTGCCGAGCCACTCCCCTCGTTCTAGTTAAGCTTTCAGCTCTTTCAACTCCACAGCCATGGCCGAACAGGTACTTCTCTCTCACAATCACGAAGTTCGTTAGGTAATCACTATGTTACCCAGAAATCTGAGTGTTTTGCTATTTTTGTATTGTTGCAGACGGAGAAGGCGTTCTTGAAGCAGCCAGGTGTTTTTCTTAGGTGAGATTCAGTCTGATAAATCTTCGTTTTCTGTTTTATGTTCTGTTTTAGAAAACTTTAAGGCTAAGGTTTGTCTTATTTGTGTGATTATGCAGCTCGAAGAAGACAGGGAAGGGGAAGAGACCAGGGAAGGGAGGTAACCGCTACTTCAAGAGCATTGGTCTAGGGTTCAAGACTCCTCGTGAGGCTACTGAAGGTCCGTATACTTTTTATTTTGTTTAATCGCAGATCTAATTCCTTGTAATGTGAACAAGTACAAAATTAAGTAGTTGATCTTAAAGTTGCTATGCAAATTAGAGGTGTCCATTTTCCGTTATAGAATCCGTTTGGCTTTATTTTTTATTATGGAAATGCTTCTGTTGCATCTTTCGTTCGCTTGCTCTTAAAATGTCCCCAGTTACTTGCAATGTAGTTGGGAATGTTGTGATCTATATTTTCAGAAATGTTATTCATTACTAATGGCTGCTCAGCTAAGGGTATAGTGCAATAGATGATGCAATGTGAGGAGGTGGAAAAATGGATTCTGGTGAATGCGTGAAATTTAGTGCATAAGTAGGAATATTATCCTGTGTAATGAATATTGTGAGGGACTGTATGTTAGGGTGCTTATTGCTGGTAATCGGGAAAAGTTAGTTGTGTCTTTGTATATTGTTGGCTTAATGGTTCTTCTGGCCTTGATAATCTATTTGCAAATTTATTATAAAGTAACCAGTAGGATAATATAAGCTAATCTGCCTATATCAAGAGGGGCTTGGTTCACAGTCCAAAAAAGATCTTGTATTTTACATGGTTCGCTGAGGGTGTCAGCAATGACTTTAAACCCAGCTATCCATGTGAAAGTCATCAATGAAAATTGCTGCTTCCATTGCATCACTGTACATTTCTTCAATGATTATGTGGATATCTTACCTTAATATCCATTTGTGTTCGTAAATTAAGGAAAAGTGTAAGTTATTTCTAGGCTTTTAGGCTAGTTATATGCTTTGTTTTCCGCTACAACATCAACATATTGTGATGCTGGTCTATTACTGAGCGCCGTTACAGCTTCAGTTAGTAAATTTGCTTTTACTCAATTCTGGATCCTCCCTTTTTTACATGGAAAAGTTCTTAGGAGCTCTTATGCAGAGTATGAGAGGGATAGCTGCAATTAAATGAATAACATCCTTCCAATTCCAATTTTTTGTTTCTGTTGGACTTAGGCAAGTTTATGATTGGATGAAATAGCACACTGGACAACAGCATTCTACTTTATGTACAAGACACTCCTTATTTATAATGCTCGCGTTTAGGAACTTAAGTAATTGATAATTTCAACCTTTATTGGAGCAGCAGACTTGTGATGTTATACCTGGTTATTGATTTTGCTTGACCTTCTGATTTGATCTAATATAGTTGTTGCATCTCTCGTATTTTAGGTACGTACATTGACAAGAAATGTCCATTTACTGGAAATGTTTCAATCAGAGGTCGTATCCTTGCTGGTACATGCCATAGTGCCAAGATGAACAGAACCATCATTGTTCGTCGGAACTACCTGCATTATGTCAAGAAGTACCAGAGGCAAGTACTTGTCACTTCTAAGTTAATGGCTGCTCAACTTGTTTTATGTATTTAATTTAACATGAAATACTATACAGATATGAGAAGAGGCATTCCAATATCCCAGCTCACATATCACCTTGCTTCCGTGTGAAAGAGGGAGATCATGTTATCATTGGACAGTGCAGGTCAAGACATAGTTGCCTTTTCCTTAAACATTGTACTGTTTCAACTTTTTATCTGCTAATCCTAATTAAATCTTTCAACTTAATAGGCCTTTGTCCAAGACTGTGAGGTTTAATGTGTTAAAGGTGATTCCAGCTGGTTCTGCTGGTGGTGGCAAGAAAGCATTTACAGGAATGTGAGCAGGTGTTTCTTGAGTTTGTTGTCACTTCTAGAGTATGAAAGTAATTATGTTTAAGACTGAGAAGAGGAGTGACGTTAAGACTTCTCTACTAAAAGCTGTTTGCGTTTGCCTTTGAAGGCTTAAATTTTGCATGGATACTTGCTACTTATCATTAGTACAAGGAGTTCAGATTTCAGTTTAATTGTTACCATTCTTATTTCAGATCAAATGTTCTTCCTGATTGCCCCATGAGCGAAATGTCTATTTGTTGAGATCTTTAGGTACTACTGTTAGGAGCTTATCCTTTTTGCGTGTCTCTGTGGTTGTTGCTATACTCTGGTGTGGTTATTGTGTGAGCGACTCTGTGGGTTTGGAAAATTGATATTGGGCCAACCAGTTGATCACATAACTAGGCGTCTATAATCTATTCATCTGGCTTGGTTTCCCACTTTTGCACACTTGACAGTTGACCCATAGCTGTTGCTAGGGGTGTTGTAGGCTAGCTGGAAGTACCATACAAATCTAACGCACACTCAGATGGAAATTGATTTGGTTGATTTGTACCGATTTGGTATTAAATTTAAAAGCCGGCAATGCATGCTTTGCTTGATATTGTCTCAAATGTTGAACTAAAAAATTAACCAAACTAGCTATGTTAACATCTTTTTGAAATTCTTTTAGTATTATCATGCATTTTTATAGTTTCTTTTCAATGTGACTTTGGGTATAAGTTCGAAGAAATTACTAAATTTGTTTGGACCAAGGATGCTATTTGCCCCAGACCATTGTTCAAACAAGCGAGGACTTAGATGAAATGTGGTGAAAATGTTAATACTCTCTGGACATAAAGTGAGGAGATTAGTAGTGATGAGAAATTTTACAATGTGTGAGACTTGCCACATCATACTTGAGTGAGGCTATTTATCGTTTGACACATGGAGCCACGGACCCTACCCTTCATCATCATTCTCTCCCTCATTCTTGACCGACATTCTCACTCCCGGATTCATCTTCTCAATTTTCTTTATTCTTCTCCACTTCTCCTCAACACAAACAATTGATTATTTTCAACTATACCAAAATTGTAGGGTAAATTGATGAAAATTAAATTAACATTTTTTCCTAACTTCACACACACTTGGAGCAAGTGCAGATTTCAAGCAATTTTCTTTTTCTGTTTTACTCATTTTTGGCATGTGTACATCTATGGCTGTGCAGCTTTTATAAATTTTGAACGAAAATATTATTTAGGCATCTTTTTTCAAATTATAAGCAAAATAGTCGAAGAGTACTCTCTTTCTTCAGAAACTAGAATTACAGCCATCTGCCCCTTCTTCATGAATTTCTCTATCCCTTTTGAATGCAAGGGTTGAGACTAAAAATACGGGTAAAAGCAATTTTACTATTCAAATGTCTTTTTCATCCGCTTATTCTTCGAATTGAGCTTTTTTGGCATTTGCTCATTGATTAAGCTAATTAACTTTAATTTTGTGAGAGCTTCTTGCTTCAAAAGTCATCTTTTTGTTATTATCCTCGGTCTTGTGTTTCTGACATGTGATTGAAATATTTCATAAATTCAAACCTCTTTTTTGGGTACAAAGTTCAGTGGGAAAGAAGAGCTAACCGAATGGATTTGTAAAAAAATAATAATTATAGGATTTATAACAAGAGAAGAGGATATATAGGGGGTGAAGTCCGTGGGGAGGAGAATGAATTAGAAGAAGAAAAAATGAGGAATGACCGGAAGTGAGAGTAGGTGAATTGTGACTGAGAAGTGATGATGAAGGGTAGGAGTGAGAATGTCGGTCAAGAATGAGGGAGAGAATGATGATGAAGGGTGGGGTCCATGGCTCCATGTGTCAAACGATAAATAGCCTCACCCAAGTATGATGTGGCAAGTCTCACACATTGTAAAATTTCTCAGTAGTGATTGTTTACGTTTTTTTATATGATTTGACAATATTTTTCATAATAATGAAATCGAGTCGACGAGTTTATACTCTTTCTAATGAGTTAATTACTCAAATGCTCACTTAACTATCCCAAATTATCTTCTAAAGTCACTTTTCTTTCGTTTGTAATAACAAAGTCACTGAACTATGTCTATTGAACTCAGAAGCTCACTCAACTAGATTTTCCAAATTTTGGATTACCAAATACTTATTTTACCCTCTAAATTATAAACATTTATCTTCTTTTTTATTTTTTAAAATTTTTTAGTATTAACAACAAAAAATTCAAAAATTTATTTACACAATTCAGAATGAAAGAAAATAAAGGTTACTATGTTCCATGCACATAATATAAAAATAATTATTTAAATAAAAGTATCTTTATAGTATAAATTATATATTCTTGAAAATTATGCTCAATTATATGATTATGTTTCTACTAATTTTTCGACGACACAAAGTTATGTCACCGGAAAGCAGGAGGATTATTTGTATAGGGTAAAATATGCTATGTTAAGTCGTGCATGAAACATATATAATATAATTGAGCATAATTTTCAAGAATATATAATGTATGTTATAAAAATACCTTTATTTAAATAATTATTTTATATTAAGTGCATGAAATGTATATTTTAAAACCTTTATTTTCTTTCATTCGTAATTGTGTTTTTGAATTTTTGTTATTAATACTAAATAATTATTTCAATTAATTTTTTTACTATGCTCATTATTTTATTATTCCAACACTATATATGCCTAAATACTTTTTATTTTTTTAATTTATAAATAATATTTATTTATTCTATAGGTAAGTCTATAATGTAAATTAAAAAGAAATCATAATATTAAAAAGTTTAAAAAAAAAAGATAAATACTTATAATTTAGAGGATAAAATATGTATTTGGTAATGCAAAATTTGGAAAATCTAGTTGAGTGACCTTCTGAGTGCAATAGGCATAATTCGGTGATTTTGTTGTTACAAACAAAAGAAAAGTAACTTTAAAAAATAATTTGGGATAGTTGAGTGACCTTTTGAGTAATACTCTCTTTCTGTTAGTAAGCATGTAAGACTTGCGCATAATTTTACCTCAACTAATCTTTTCAGTATCTATGAACTCAAATAAATTTTCTTTTCTAGTACAAGTTCTTGAAGTGTGAGCTGAACGAAACCAATTAAATCATCGCAAGACGGGATGAACTTCGAAAGCGATAACTGTGCCTAATGTAATTTATTTTGGTTTGTAAATTTAGCAAATAATGTAATTGGTTGCGCTCTCTTAATCCACGTATATTCCTACATCAAAGCTCATAGAACAGTGGACCATCAGAAATTCTCTTATACCTCTAGGTCCCAAAATCAAAAACCATAAATAGAAGTGCAATCGACTCATTAACATGGCTTTTGGGCGCACTTAGCTATTCTATTAATATCTACTACTTTCTATCAGCACAGATACTGGATTATTCTGTCCATCAAAGTATAAGAAGGGGAAAACATCACCTAGTATTTTTTGCCTCCCTTTAGATTTGAACATGAGACCCCATGGTTCTACGTCAGTTTTATTGATTACTAGGTGTCACACCTCCTTTTTTTACACACACCCCCGAAGGGTAGTGTATAAGGAAGTTTTTCTACTTTGAGTGACATTATTCGAAATGTGATTATTTATTTATTTTTGTTCAGAGTCGCCATTTGGGATAGTTTGTTTTCTGGTGTCCCAAGTCACCGGTTTATTTTAAATCCCAAATCGAGGAAAATTCGACTTTCCTTGTGAAGTCTGCGAACCAGAAATTCTGAATAAGGAATTCTGTTAACCCGAGGGAAGGTGTTAGGCACCCCCGGATTCCGTGGTTCTAGCACGGTCGCTTAAACTATTACAATTGGACTATTATCTGATTTTAATACATGTTTTAAACTATGTGCATTTTAACTTATTAACCGCTTTATTTTTTTTTAAAGAAGATTTAACGTCGTTTAAAACATGTCTTTGGACCGCACCACATGAAATGCACCCGCAGTCCGAAACACATTTTATTCAACGTTGTTAAGATTTGGATTTGGGTCACATGAAATGCACACCCGAGTTTAGGAAGGTAATGTTATTAAAATAACGCGCCTAAAGCAACTACGCGCTTTTAAGTTTGCGAGGGCCATGGAAAGTTCAACTAAATGGCACGCTTCGATTTCTAAGGAGTAAAATTAATTAAATGAGGCCATGAGCTTAGGGGTTTTATTTGGCATGGCACGCCTCAAATTATTTCAAAGGGGCTTTATATTTAGTTAAGGCAAACTTTGATACACCTAGTTATATCTAAAAAAAGACTAAGTATCACAACCACGTCACGGGAACCGTACCCGTAATTGTGATGATTTAATTACGCCTACAGATTCGCCTACCTGCGACCCACTCAACTCAGCAACCAATATGAAAAATCAGTGAATCAAACAAATGAGTTTGTGATAATAATTCATGTGCATTGATATATACTACAAATCCGACAAGGAAATAATTTGCATTGTTAAAGTAATGACTGTCACTTACACAGTAGTCTAAATATTTAAAAAAAAAACGAAAATGCTTGTGACTCTTTTAATAAAAAATATGCATGTATCTCTTTCACAAACAAACTCACATTCAAACAAGGAAACGAGTAAACGAACAAATTCACCATACAAACAAATTCACATTCACAATTTTTCAAACAAGGAACCAAACTCTGAGATTAGAAATATCATTTTCATCAAATCAAAATAAAGAAAACATAGTAGATAACATTATCATGAACCAAAAATCATATACATACCAGATGAACCATCATATATGCAATAAATTACCTTAGTTTCACCATCAATCAGAAAAGAATGATCACAGAGGTAGCGATACAGCTCCTTCTTCAAATCGAACAAAATCGAATACGGTTCATCACTACAACAGGAAAAAATATCACGACAACCCGGTGACCTCTGGTCGGAACTCAAACCGGCATCGAAAAACCTCGACTCAACACAACTCCGGACGTTTTTGCCTGCTCCCCTGTTTTCGTTACTGTTTTTCGAACTCCTTTTCCTCTTTTCTTTTGCAGCTAGCTGCTGGTTTGGTCAGAGATGGGGGTTCGAAGAGATGAGTTGAAGAATGGTGTTTGTGTTCCGGCGACCTGCTGCTGCTGCTGGTGACAGACGACGGAGATGGAGGGTTCGGTCGGGGTTGCTGGCTGCAAAGTGAGGAGAAGGAAGGGTCGTTGGAAGGGCTTGGAGAAGAAAGGGTCTTCTAAGGTTTGTGAAGA